GATATGAAATTTTCTCATAAATAAATAGAGTTAGGGTCCCCAATTTATATCTGAATTTCATTACTTGTGTCATTCCATCTACACAAAACTAATCAAGAGAAAGCATTTTGAAGAGAAAGATCAAGAACTTACAATCAAGAATAAAAAAGAATGATTGATGCAATCAAGATTAAAGAGCAAAAAGTTAAAATGAAAGGGACTACAAGTTGATCTTCAAAATTCAAGATTTAAAATCATTGATCAAAGTGTGTTCCGCATTAATTAATTCTCTTGGCGATCTAACATTAATTAATCAAATCATGAACATTCTAATTTAGTCAAGTTTTTGGTTTTAAACAATTCATTCTACTTGTGAAAAAAATGCACAAATTTCCAACACAGCCTTGCTATAGTGCCAAAAAATCTTACTATATTGGTTGACATAATGACAAATGGCAGTTTGTCATTTGCCAATTTAAAAAAAAAAAGTTTTCCATCAATCATTCACCGTCACCAATACATATGTCATCCAAGGTGGTAAATTAATCGACAAGAAAGCATTTTTCTTTCAATAAACCAAATGATTTAGCACGACTTTCAAGAAAACAATGGAGCTTTTGTTTACAAATACTATACATATCTTTCTATATATAAAAAGTGCCTATTTAACGGAATTTGTTGGTTTAATGGAAAAACTAACGGAATTTGTTGTTTTAACGGATTATGTAACGGAATTTCTTGTTTTAAACAGACAGCTGCACCTTCTTTCAGTGTTTTTATCATAACTTTGTATTCCGATGTTCAATTGAGGCGATTCAAAATGCGTTGGAAAGCTAATCCATCTGGCTACAACTTTGATTCAGACATCACTCTCCAATTCGATTACTTTATATGCCAAAAATATGTCTCAATATAACGGACTATGTAACGGAATGTTTTGTTTTAAACAGGCAGCTACACATTCCTTCAGTGTTTTTATCATAACTTTGTATTTCGATATCCGATTGAGGAGATTCAAATGCGTTGGAAAGCTAATCCATCTGGCTACAACTTTAATTCAGACATCATTCTCCAATTGGATCACTTTCTATGCCAAAAATATGTCTCAATATAACGGACTATGCAACGAAATTTCTTATTTTAACCAGGCAGCTGCACCTTCTTTCAATGTTTTTATTATAACTTTGTATTCTGATATCCGATTGAGGCGATTCAAAATGAGTTGGAAAGCTAACTCATCTTTCTACAACTTTGATTCAGACATCATTNATTGAACTGGACAGGTTGGTTCAACCAGAAAACTTGGGTATCGGTCAGAAATCTAATTCGATTTTATCTTAAAACCCACTTAATTTGAAACCGATAAAAAGACAAAAATTTGGTTAATTTATGCACGATTCGAAAGACCCGCATTCAAATTTTTGAGACTCTTTCAAACTCTCGGCCCACTAAAGTACAAGGCCTAGAAAGTTATTCATCCATTAATTGGTACACCTATTTATAGAATGAATTCCTAGTGGTTTCTCATGTAAATTCGACGTGGGATAAAGTATAAATCAATGAAAAGTACTCACCGACACGTCTTTAGAAACTCATCCCACGTACAATTCGGAGGCCCAGCCCCACCCCCATCAATTAGGGCGCAGCTTAATTTTTAGGCCAATTCCCCCTTTGTACTACCAAAAAATGAGATTCTTGTCGAATCTGGGTACTTGACAATTGTAGACAATCCAGTTTTTTTTTTCTTTTTTTTTTTTTTTGTAGTAATTGATGTTTGTTCTTCTCTCTTCCCTCATCCTCTCATTTTTTATTAATAATTTTATTGACTTAATTAATTATTTTTTAATCTTATTTTAATTAATAAAAAATTAGAAAGTTTTTCAAATATTTCAATTAACAATATTATACTATCAATTATTATTGTTTATTGTTTGAAAATATATTTATTTATCTTTTTTCGCTATTCGATTTAACCTCAATTTGAATCTGATTCGACACATTAACACTTAACCATTTCCCTTTTTCGGTTAATGCCTGATCCGATTTCTAAAACATTGGTTCTATTCCAGTATATTGTCAAGGGGGTAATGAAGCTTTAAAATTTCTTTAATCTTGTGTAATATTCCAAGTCTTATAAAAGGCTCCAAGTTTCCAGCTAAAAGTTGTATTTTTAGGGCTTTTCTATTGTCAAGAAGGGTGTCCGTATTGTGAAAACATTGATGAATGGCTCAGGAAAAATGACATGGGGATTTTCCCTGGTTTTTGCCACTTTGAACGGGGAAAAATCAAGGGAATTTTCCTTATTCATTGTTTTGAATAAATGTAAGCCTAAAATTGTCATTTTACTGAAAACTTAACCTTTTAATGGTTAAACTAACTATTTCCGTTTAGAAAAAGATTTGGAATCTGAAGTGTTAGAAATCAAAAGTTCAAGACTTTATTATCACGACATTCAAAGGTTCGAAAATTCAAGTGCAATTTATTCCCAAAAGAGTAAATTGAAAAACAAATCTCTCTCTCTTTTTTTTTTTTCATTTTAATTAACAGTTTTTAACTACATATCAAATCAAAATTCAAGAAAAAATATTACTAATTATTTTTATTACGTAATAATGAGATAATGACATATGGAGAGTGGCAGAATATGATGTGCTTTTATTAAATAAATATTAAGAAAATTACATCGTGAAAATTAGCAAATACTGATAACTTTAATTAATTAAAATAAAATATAGTGTATCAAACAAAAACTATGATATGTATATGATTACCATTGGGTAAATGATATCTTTTTTAGGTAATTTTACCTATTCAGTAAGACGTGATTCATTCACACGGACATTTAACGATTAAATAAATATTTTCTATCACGCGGGAATACAATACACAATAATAAAAAGTTGGAGACATAAGTGCCACAAATGAAAAGTTGAAGACATGACTGAACGTTATTCTTGTTGCATGCACATTTAAACGATTTAATAGATATTCTCTATCGGCGGGTATTCTGTACACAATATTAAAATGTTGGAGATATAAGTGTCACAAATGAAAAGTTGGGGACATGATTGACATGCCTATGAAAGATTTGGATCTGTAAAGGAATGGCTCAGGAAAAAATGTCACGGGGATTTTCCCTGGTTTTTGCCACTTTCAACGGGGAAAAATCAAGGTAATTTTCTTTCCTTATTGTTTTGAATAAATGTAAGGCTAAAATTGTCATTTTACTCAAAACTTGACCTTTGAATGGTTAAATTGACGATTTCTATTTAGAAAAAGATTTCGAGCATGTTTGGCCAAGTTTAAAATTCAATTAAAATTGAAAATATAGTCGTTATTGGATCTCACTCGTCTAATAAAAGTTAACAATAACGATTAGTTTTTCAATTTTTATCCGATTTTAATCTCTACCGAACACGCCCTTGGAATCTTAAGTGTTAGAAATCAAAAGTTCAGAACTTTATTATCACAACATTCAAAGGTTTGAAAATTCAAGTGCAATTTATTCCCAAAAGAGTAAATTGAAAAACAAATCTCTCTTTTTTTTTTCTCATTTTAATTAACAATTTTTAACTACGGGTGTGTTTGAGCCACATTATTTTGAAAGAATGTATTTTGGAATAGTAGATTGATAAAGAATGTATTGTTGAAAAAGAAAAAAAAAAGTTATTGATATAATAGAAAATATTATTTCATTGAAAAATGTGTGATTGAAAATGAGTAGATGAATGAACATGAAAATTTTAATGTGCCTCAATTCAAAATTCAAGAAAAAATATTACTAATTATTTTTATTGCTTAATAATGAGAAAATGACATGTGAAGAGAGTGGCAGAATATGATGTACTTTTATTAAATAAATATTAAGAAAATTACATCGTGAAAATTAGCAAATATTGATAACTTTAATTAATTGCAATAAAATATAGTGTATCAAACAAAAACTATGATATGTATATGATTACCATTGGGCAAATGATATCTTTTTTAGGTAATTTTACCTATCCAGTAACACGTCATTCATATCACATGAACATTAAATGATTAAATAAATATTTTCTATCATGTTGGAATACAGTACACAATAATAAAAAGTTGGAGACATAAGTGTCGCAAATGAAAAGTTGAAGACATAACGGGACATTATTCTTGTCGCATGGACATTTAACGATTTAATAGATATTCTCTATCGGCAGGTATTCCGTACACAATATTAAAAAGTTGGAGATATAAGTGTCATAAATGAAAAGTTGGGGACATGACTGACATGCCTATGAAACATTTGGATCTGTGGAGGAACTTACCAAAAAAATACAATTTTGATTTGTCAGGTTACTTTTCCAGTTTTCCTTTCATGAACATTTGGTCCGTACCTGCCTAACTAACGAGGCAACTGCCAAGTCCGACCAAATCGTGTAAAAATCGTAAAATTTGACTTTTGTGGGGCCACTGAATCATACCCTTTCCTCCATAATCTCAGCTTAATGAATAGAGCATTAATCAAAATTTTACTGCTTGAAATCTCATTAATTTCGCCCATCTTGAAGTTTCCTCGCATAAAAATCCGACCCCACAATTCAAGAAAGAATACGTAAAGACAATTCAGAAAAATACCATATTCTGCATAATTTCCATTTAAAGCCCAGAATTACGTTCATTTTCTTACCATTATTGATGGCCTGTGTCAGTTTCTTTCGTCTCAATTCTTGCAAAATTTCTGATCTGAATTCCGTGACTTCTCCTTTATACGAACAAAACAAACAAGAAAGATGAAGGTGGCGAAATCCCAGGTGTGGCAGCCTTGCAAGAAGAAGAGGCTTTAGAATAGAATCTTCTCAAACAAGAAAACCTAAAAGGGGAGAGTTTTTAGCGTAAAGAGCAGAAGGGACACAGGGAAAAAGGCAAGCAGAAAATTGATGGGATTTGTATCGGAAATTTCTTGTAGATAGATAGGGACGGATAAAAAGAGGAAAGCGTTTGATAGAATTGATACATATACAGACATACAGCGAGACGGGGTTATGGCTTCGCGAGGGGGTGGAAGTGGGAGGACGAGAGTGGGGCGTTATGAACTGGGGAGAACTCTCGGGCAAGGAACATTTGCAAAGGTGAAGTTTGCGAGAAATGTAGCAACAGGTGAGGATGTGGCCATCAAGATTCTTGATAAAGAAAAGGTTCTCAAACACAAGATGATCAGCCAGGTAAATTATTTTGTTTTGGGTATTTGATTTTGATCTGATTAGCTAAAGTGATGATTGGAACTGGTATTTAGAGTTTATCACATCGACTAGCAGGTGTTCTTTACTTTTTCTTGCTTCGGCACCACTATGGATTGGCACTTCTGATCTATCTTTCTTTTTTCTTTTTTTTTTGCCCTTTTTATTGTAGATTAAACGTGAAATCTCGACCATGAAATTAATCAGGCACCCGAATGTCATCCGCATGTACGAGGTTGGTATTTACCTACTTTATAAGATATTTCAACAGAACATTAAGATATATACTGTTATTTGTGGAGAGTGGAGAGTTTTGATTTTCATATGCACTGGATATAACAACTGCCAGCTTTAATGTCTTCTTGAACAATTGAAGATTCTGTGTTGTAGGTTATGGCTAGCAAAACGAAGATATATATTGTTATGGAATTCGTAACGGGAGGTGAACTCTTTGACAAAATTGTGAGTCCACGTGTACTTTGTTCTTGCAACTGGATGATGATACAATTAGATAGCAAGCGCTTTCAAAGAAATTCGAACATGTTTTGTTTTCTTATGGCCAGGCTAGTAGAGGGAGGCTGAAGGAAGATGAAGCAAGAAAATATTTTCAGCAGCTAATTAATGCAGTAGATTACTGCCATAGCAGAGGCGTTTACCACAGGGACCTTAAGGTGATAATGTTACTTTCATTAGTTACTTTTGTAATTTCTCCGGCAAGGATATTTTGGGTATATGAACGAATATGTTTATAATTTGCATTTTCGTGATTCTTTAGCCAGAGAATTTATTACTGGATGCCAATGGGATTCTTAAAGTTTTAGATTTCGGATTGAGTGCTCTACCACAGCAAGTCCGGGTTAGTATGATAATAGAAAAGTTTCTTAACCGTAATTTAGGATTAGTTTAGGTACCAAAATAAGACATGTGAGCTAATTGAATATGAATTTCTTTATCTGGTTGTCTAGGAAGATGGGTTACTTCACACGTCATGTGGAACGCCAAATTATGTTGCTCCGGAGGTATGCAATTAGCATTTTAGGAGAAACATTTTACGATTTCTAATTTGTGAATAACTTTTCTCATTCTTTTTGGTTCTCTAATCATTTAGGTGATCAACAATAAGGGTTATGATGGAGCTAAGGCAGATCTCTGGTCATGTGGTGTTATCCTATTTGTCCTTAT